GTGTGCCTGAAGCAGCAAGTGGTTGAGGATGTTTGGAGTTCCCATAGAGCTTGGTAGCCCATCAGGACATTTCCCCTGAAAACATGCTCTCTCTCTCTCTCTCTCTCTCTCTCTCTCTCTCTCTCTCTCTCTCTCTCTCTCTCTGTGTGTGTGTGTGTGTGTAAATAATATGTATATCTATGTGACTTCAGTATAAAAAACATTGTATGTGGAATTGTATGACCTGGGCTCAAATTCTTTCAATTCTTGGATGGCACAATGAGCTGAACCATGGCCACACAAGATATGCTGATGTCTTAATATCCATTACATCAGAACGTGACCTTATTTGGAAGTAGGGTCATCGCGAATATTGCTAACTCTGACCTTATAGTGGAGTTATCAGGGGCCTTAAGCCAATATGGCTGGTGTCCTTACCTAAGATGGCCTTGTAAAGGACACAGGCAGAGTGAGAAGAGAGAGGGAGAGGTTGAAGTGAAACATCTGTAAGCCAGGGAGTGCCAAGGGTTGCCAGCTACTACCAGAAGCCTGTGCAAAGCTGTGCAGCAGCTCTGCCCTGAGCACACAGAGGAACCAAATCTGCTGACTGTGACTTTGGACTTGTAACTTCCAGGATTGTGAGATACACATTTTCGTTCAGCAACAACAGAATGGTGATGCTCATGGCAGTCCCGGGAAGTTAACATGGGTGTTAAGTTGTTGGAGGGGAGGTCCTAGCACAATTCAATTTGTGTCCTCTTGCTTCCACATAGTCCTTAGAGCTAGTATATCACTCATAGAACCATATTTTAATTTTGTTTCATCTCCACAACGTCCTCATCAAAAACTTTTCCCAATGCAGGAGACCGAGACTCGGAAGCTGTCGCAGTTGAGAGGTATCTTGGCGCTCCCCATCTTCCCTCCCTCACTGCAGCGTTCATTGTTCTGATGTCTTTACACCTTCCTTGGAGATGGTGGTGTGTTTAGTCCCTGGCTTTTGGTGTGTAACTTGCTTCAACACCACGGACCTCTCCTCTAGTCACCTTCTTCTGCTTGGTTCACATCTCTTCTTGCTGAAACCCCCCACTGTCTCTCTCTAGAGAACTGAACTTGGCTGTGGTCCATGCTCCAGCAGGGTCTTTCATTTGTCATTTCTTGGATGTGGCAGAAACTGAGACCCTCCTGAGGCAGAGATAACTGGGTTTCTTTGGGCAGCTTTGCTCTGATGGGTTTTGGGGTCTTTGCGAGTAGCACAAGATGCCTATGGCTGTGCCTACTCATCACCAGCAACTTACCCAATAAGGTGAATGTGGGCAGATTACAGAAAAATCAAAGACTTCCTGTGGTTGGTGACAGCCCAGTCTGACCTGCCCTATCCAAAGCTTAGCAACAGAGTCTCGCTTTCCATTCTTATGTATCATGATGTGAGATATCTGTCTCTATCACATAGTAACAAACAGTGAGTCATGTCATAAAAGAATGCCTGTCACTGTCTTAAGAAGACCTGGTAATGAATATCTTCACACCCTGAATGCCACATTCTCACAAACAGAAATTATTAATCCTTTATTGTCTCACCCATTTGATACACTGAAAATTTTATCTCAATTTTATTATATACTGTTTGACTAGCAGCCAGACTCATCCTCCCAAAATGTACCCCCAAGAAGGTTGTTGAGATATATGGTGACTATAAGTTGGCCTAGCAACTGCTCAGTGTGAAACAGCTTTGCTTCTCAGGCTCCCTTTTGATTTAGGAAACTTAGAATTTTCCCCTTAGGCAAGACAGACAAAGATTCTGATATTATAGAAATTTGTTTATATTTCCATCCGTCTTACTTCAAACATCCTCATCCCCTCTGCATTCATGCTTGACAAACTTTGTTCTTGCCCAGGTGTCCACATGCTCAAATGCCAACCTATCAGCAGGAATTGTCCTGACAGGATTACTAAGAATTTTTGCCTCTTCCTTCTCTGGAATGGAAGGTATGTGAGGTCAGAATCTCTGTCTAATTTTCTCACTGGTGACTTTGCAAGTGCCTAGCCCAGTGCTTGCACATACTAGGTGCCCAGTAAATTTGTGAGTGAGTAATGACAAGCTTTGGAAGGACTAGAAGGGACCTCAGGAAGCATTTGATTCCAAGGTGAGAAAAAAAAATTCTCCCCTTACAGGAAAGCCAATTAAATAAACATAAGAGATTCATGAGCACAATTTGTTTTCCATTCAAAATTAAATCCTCAGAGAGGATAATACGTGCTCTAAAATCTTAACCACCTACTTTATTACATAGAAAGATGTAGATGAAAAATCATGGGCTGAATTGAGTAGCCTCAAGAACTCATCACCAATCATTTGAAACCCCGCCTTCTTACAGAAGGCAAAAATTGACCAGAGAAGGGAAAAGGGGCTTTCTTTCTCAATCACAGCCTATTGAGCTGTGGACTCCATTAGTGTTGCCTTCTACCAGCTGGAGAAAAGCAGTAAGAAACAAGACTTTGGTGCTTTCCAGTTCACTAAGCTTACATGAGCGTGTGCACACTGTCATAAAGCAAGTATGTCTGCTCACTCTGAATTAACAAATAGTGCACATTAGAACTATTTACTGCCCTTAATTTGGTGACACCACCACCATTGTCCTATAGATAGGAGCAGTAATTCAGCTGCCCCACTTATGGATTATTTACTATGACCTAACATTTAACAAGTATTGATAACTGGGTTTTGTTTCAGGCCAAGAAGTACCCTGTGAACAGGCAGTCTGCAGCCTCTTCAGTATGTACATCTCTAGGCTAAACTTTTCCATAGGATAGCATGATCTCTTTTGTTACTCAGGTTTTGATTTGAGGGCTTTTTATTACCCTTTTCTGAATATTACCCTTAAACATATTGACGTATGTCTGTAAGGACGAATCCTTGGAGCTGTGTAATGTCTACTCAGGTGCTTTAATGAGTGGATGATGACCTTGACTTGTCTAAGTGCCTCCTTTGCATGCCAGTACACTGTTGCCAATTGGTGATTTACAGGATATAGTTATTTAAAGAAAAAAAAACACTGTTGATGTTTTTATTAAATATGCCGATTCAAAATTCTGCAGTGATAGTAGCAATGTCTGGATGTCATTTTGTTTTTCTGCTAGTCAGCGTCCCATAAGCATTTCTGTAAGTACAGCTCATACAATTCAGTCCCCCGTCACCTGCCTTATTCTCAATCATATCTGTCAGCTATAGCTCATCAAAAATTGATATTCACTACAACATGTTAGACCACTGCAGTGTTATTAAAAAGCACACAGCTGCAGAGACCCTGCTTTTGGGGCTGCAGTCTGAGAGAACCGAAGTCAGTAGCACAGTGTACCTAACCATCTCAAATGGTGAATAAAATAGACACACGGCTTAGGCATTGGGGGATGGGACTGTGTGTGTGATTGAGGGAGAAATGAACGTTGGGGCCAGGCAATATTTGTCTTAACTCCATTTTTCTGAGATCCAACCGGTTGAGATAGCTAAGCAAATAAAGTGCGTACCGCCAAGCCTGATGACCTGGAACCCACACGTGCAAGGACAGAACCAACCCCCAGGGGTTGTCTTCTGGCCTGCACATGTGCACACAGGCCCGCACACATACTTACAAAATACATTCATGAATAAACGTCATTAACCTTTTCTTAGGCTGAAATCCAAGATAATGTTCTAAAATTTAAAGTTGGTTATCGTTCTTTAGGAGTTTATTCTCTTGTCCCCTGGAATGTAGGTCACTCTGGCTCCAAACTGGAATTTTCTTAATAGATTGGAAAAATGATTTCTAATTTCCATTTGTTGTATGCAGACAGGTGGAAACAACTGTCCCGTCTAGGATGCTTAAAGTCAGCTAATATGTCATTTATAATCAATTTGGGGCATACTGCATTCATTGTTCCTAACTCAGAAAAATTCATTTATCTAAGTGGTACATTTTAAAATGAAAAATCATTTCTCATGTTTTGATCCTCCCCCTGCCCCTGTAAAAAATTGTAAATCTATACTCATGTAAGCAATCTCAGGTATGGAAAGCATGAGAAAAACTGAAACCCTGGATTACTGAAATGAATTAAATTCATTTGGCTGAGAACAGGAAAATTCTTAACTGTAACTATTGCAATTAAAGGCAGAATTTAGGCAGAATTTAAAATTTCATCATTTTCATTGTTGAAGATGACTTTAAAAATCAGTCTACTGTTTACAGTCTTTCTTCACATTGACTTATTTATTTGGCCACATTTCTTCTGTGGTTATGATGCATGTTATTGACTCAGAATGATTTCAAAGCTGCAGAAGAGCCTTTTGTCCAACCTCCTTGTTTTGCAATTGAAAAGAAGGCTCTAAACTTCCCAAATGCAGGGTTGACAGCAACAGTGGACAGACCAAGACCAAGTCCCCACTGCGGTGAAGCCATTAATAGAGCGCGGATAACCCCCTTTCGTATGCTGAGAACAAGACAGCTCTAATCGGATGCATTACTTCTAAAGCCCACCCTTAAACACTAGAATTCGGGGACCTTTGGACAATATGAATCTGCCAATAGTTGCATTCTAAGGGCCAGAGCTGTGACACCAAGGTCCCCCTCCTGTGCACCACTCCAAACAGGCTCCAAACACTGTAAGTAAAAATGTAGTGGAATTCGGTTTTTTAAAAAGTCAAAATTTTTCTGATGATTAACGTGTCTCAAGTTTTCCTGGGTTTTTATCAGTGTCAACAGATCTGCTCGGTTTAATTGGAAAGTTATCTATATGTCATGTTGTGTTATGTGTCAGCTCTTGCCCACTTGTATTATTTCCCCCACAAATCTACAGGAATTTATGGAGTCACTTAAAGAGAAGGCAGTAACATCCGTCTAGAGATAGTGAGGTTTGCCTGTTTGAGGTTCAGGCTTTTCTGGAAGCAGAGACTATTTATGGGATTTCAGAGGTTTCATTCAGCCACTATAATCACTACTGAGTCATTAAATGCAGCAAATAGTTAAACCGTTGGCTTATATACTTACTTGTCAACATATTCAACTAGATCTGTAGAGTGCTTGGTTGACATTTTGGCTGGAGAAAATCTTACCTAAAACAGAGGCAACAGATTCAAAATGTATCATGTGATGCTTGAGTGGACTACTCTTCATCTATCCTGTACTTAAACAAATGTTTTTATTTTAAACAAAATATAGACCACCAGTTAACCTTACATATACCATTTGTATTGTTAGTGACTAAAACTGAAATTGAGTTTGGGGGCATTCCTAAAGAGCTTTGCTTCAATAGGTTTGGTAACACATCAGGAAAAGCTTTTTAGAAGTTAAAGCCATACATCAATCCAAGATGAAAACTTCTAAATGAAAACTCCAGTGATTATTGATTGAGTTTTGAAAGAAGTCCAAGGATAGTGAATTATTCCTGACATAGTAATTTCCTAGGGGAATCAGCTAATTTTCAAAACAGCCCCAAACTAGAAAGCTAGTCAATCCAAGTAATTTTATATTCTAAAAAACCCTAGATGTCAGATTATTATAGATGAGAAATAAAAGCATAGAAGAGCTGTATGTTAATTTAGTAGCATGAAACAAGTTGGCTATATGAACATTTAGCTGAAAATATCTAATTCACTATTCTACTACTTCTAGAAGTTTCTATTTCCATAAAGGTTGATAATTCAGTAACATTCCTATGAGGAAAATGCCAAATATACCTACTATTTCCATGTATTAAAACAACTAAAGTTATAATGCCTTTTTAAAGTTTAAAAACAAAGCACATTTTATTTTAGTTTTAATAGCCAATCACTGAATGAGATTCAGTGGAGGGAATGTAACTGGTATTCTAAGTTAACACATTGAACAAGGTATGTTTGTTGAATATTTTTCTTGGGTTATACTACTGCATAGTAAAATGATTGGTGTGGTGGTTTGAAAGAAAATAGCCCCCTTAGGGACTGGCACTATTAGGAGGTATAGCCTTGTTGGAGGAAGTGCATCACTGTGTGGGAGGGCTTTGAGGTCTCCTATGCTCAAGATATGCTCAGTGTGGACACAGATTTCTTCTGCTGCCTGTGGATCAAGATGTAGAACACTCAGCTCCTTCTCCAGTACCATGTCTACCTGCATGTCGTCATGCCTTACCGTGTTGACAATGGACTAAACCTCTGAAACTGTAAGCCACCCCAATCAAATGTTTTCCTTTATAAGAGTTTCCATGCCTGTGATGTCTCTTCACAGCAATAGAAACCCTAATTAAGACAATGGGATTAAACATTAAGATTTTTTGTTCAGAAAGAGTTCTTTAGGAAGTTTTAATGAAATCAACTATTTCTTGGTTGATTCCATTAAAAGTGTAAGGGCCAAGACACTTACTTGCAAATCCCTCTCCTCTGAACAAAATTAGAAAACCAGGCAACCCTATTATCAAGAAAATTGATAGTGGTCATGCTGGCTTGATCCAGTCCAGTTGGCAGGAGGCTATCAGAACAGGCTCCCAGCTGGTCAGGATGGGGCCAGAGAGCTTTTGGGAGAGTGCATTGGCTCTGGACATATTGTGGAGTAGTCTGCAAGAGGTTGGATATGTCTTGGTCCGGGCTTACCCTAAAGCAATGGTTCTCAACTTGTGGGTTGCAAACCCTTGAGGGGGTGCCACATATCAGATATCCTGCATATTAGATATTTACATTATAATTCATAACAGTAGCAAAATTACAGTTATGAAGTAGCAATTAAATAATTTTATGGTTGGGGGTCACCACAACATGAGGAATGGTAATAAAAGGTCGCAGCATTAGGAAGGTTGAGAATCATTGCTCTCAAGAACACCCCACTTGTCCATTTGTGTTCTGGATACCATCCTATGTCTCCAGAGGACCGGAACAGATTTCTGCCTACACTGCTTCTCGCTACTGTTTCCCACTGCAAATGCTTTGGGTCCTGAACTTATTACTCCCCTCATGCCGGCTGTTTCCTTCTCACCTCTCCATGGAACGCCAAGGGTGCTGGGAGTCTGGCCTTGGTACTTGTTATCAACTGGCTAGTCTTTGACTTATGCACTTGACAACCAATAATGCTGTGTAAATATTTGTGGAATGTATGTGTCCAAAAGGAATGAATTACTAGGATATGCTCATCACTTCTACTTTGGGAATATAGTGTGTGTGTGTGTGTGTGTATGTGTGTGTGTGTGTGTGTGTGTGTGTGTGTGTGTGTGTGTGTCTTTTCAATATATTCTTAGAGGCTAAGATGTGATTATATGTGAAAATTACTTCATAAATTATTATTATGGGATTTTTCCATATGTGTCAATTTTCATCTGTTCACAATAATATTCTAAAATGTTATAATTCTTATACTATAAAATCTTCTCATATATATTCTGATTTCATTTTTCTAATAGCTCTATTAGATCAGTATCATTGTTTTTTCATCATATATGACAAAAGTTTCTTTAAATGACTAACTTAAGATGACTCATTTTATAGGTGAGGAACTTGAGGATTGGGGAAGTAATGGGTCATGTGATGATAATCACATTTTACACTGAGTCTGCTTCGCTTGCTAACACTTTAAGTAGCTCATTAGAACCCCACAACAAAAGGTAGGTCTAACTAGCCTATTTTATATAAGACGAAAAACTGAGGTTAAGCAGTCACCCAAACTAAACAGAAACTCAAAGCCAGCACTCGATGTCATGCTGGCTTTCTGGTACCTGTTTCATAAGAAGAGACTGTATATACTGCTCAGATATTGTTAGAACTACCAAAGTCCAAAAGTACAGCTTGCTTTGTATGACCTTTGTCATTAATGGAAAATATGAGAAGTATGAAAAAGGAACATTACATATAACTATTCTTTTTTCTTAAAGAATCTTTATCACAGTAAATCATCATCAAATTTAAAAACTTATCCCCATATTAAAAATCAATCCAGTTAATGTATTTATAAACTGAGACGATTTTTTTCAACATAGCGTTGCTGTGCTCAGTGGCTTTATCCAGGCAGAACAACAGGAACTGCAAGAAAACAAAGAAGGAAGCCATTCTTCTGGGATTCCTTCAAACGCTAAACAACCCTGAGCTTTAGAGAAACTGAGCCAATTACTCCATTCTTAACATGAATATCTGAAAGTACTTGCTTTCATTTCTTGGTCACTAGCTGAGCCAGGAAGGGTGCCATCGGGTGGATCTGGCTGTTCTTCAGCAGGCAGGGAGGCACTTTTGTTTACATCTGTATCTAGGCAACCAGAATGCAGAAGAATCTGATGAGGAACTATGGCAAGTGAATTTTTGCATTGATGGCATTTTAAAGTTTGATGCTAGTTTCTCTATAGGTGGCAAAACGTCAAGAGAGGCTTCCAACGTGTTTGACATCTGCGTCTCCCTTCCCCACCCAGGGTCCTGCCACTGCCAGCATCACATCTGTAGCTGATGAGCAGAGCATATCTCCACAGGTGCTTCCAAAAAGCATTTAGAAACTTTGTTGAGGTCAAATTGCCCTAAAATATTGGGAGATATATCCTATTGTACCCAAGAGAAGAGCTGAGGGTCTTGGAAATTTTTTTTTTACTTTGTTTATATATAGTAAGAAATGTAAGAGGGAAACATGAGAAATTTAAATTTTTAAAGAGTTATCCATGGGTAAGTACCTGAACTCATAAAGTTGATTCCCCAGCTTTATTATTATTACTTTTTGTTGACTTGCTTTTAATTTTTGAAAGGGAACAGAGATATGCTTTCCTTCCTTTAAAAGCCAAAATGCTAAGGAATCTTGACTCATTCAAACTAAAATTTTCATGCTTCTGAAGCATCTTTCCAAGGGTTGTTCAAGAGCATTGTGACTTAGGAGGGATCTGTGATGTCGATGGGGTCCCTCTCATACCTCAAGTCCTTAAGTCCCTAGGATTTATGAACCTATGGTGGGTTTCCTTGATTCTAATTGCTCATTCACTTTGTCTAATCGAGTAAGAAGTGACCCAATATTTCAAAACCTACCCCAGATTTAATTGATGAGTTTGATGAGAGTACAATTTTCATCAAGTTAGAAACAGCGAAAAGGAAAAAATGTCACTTTATTCCTTAATCTTTGTCCATGTATACTGGTTGAGGAAGCTCTTTGAGGCCATCAGAGGATCATCATGGACAGTTCAGTAGCAATGGCAGATAGCATGGGTCCGGACTTAAATACTGGATTTTTGCTTAGAAGAAATTTTATTCAATTATTTCAAAATGAAGTAAATTATTTTAATTTTAAAATGTTTTTTCTCAGTTTTAAAATTAGAATTTGCACGTGTTAGTATTCACTTGGCTTTCATGTGTAGAAATTGGCTAGGTTACTACTCAAATTATAATTCTGGGTTTGCCTTGCTTGAAGGACTTCTTCAGGGTGGTGAGTGATAAACCTTAATCCAGAGATAAAGATGACCCACGATTTTGGCTCCAATATTACATCCTGCAATGCTACGCTAAGCTTTAGAACTTTGAACTAAAGTCTTGTCTGGTTTACAAGCAGACTATGATTCCCAGCTCAATCAATTATTTCCTTATCCAGGACTAAGTGACATTGGCACTAATCAGTCATTGAGTGAAATTAAGTGGTTCTGAATTCCAAGAGAATGGCGTGAAACCCCAACACTTTATGCACTGTGGGTTAAATTGCATCACTTCTTCAAGCTTTAGCTTTCTCTCCTGTAAAATAAACTAATATTGATCCCACCAGATGGCTGATTAAATGCAATATATAATAAATTCAATTATATACTTACATTTCTCATCTGAGTATCAAGCTACTAGAAGGTAACTATTACTAGTTATTATTTCACAAGGCAACAATTATCTAAGAAATGGATTCAAGCAAGGTCTGTGTCAGGAAAAACAATTGAATCTGATCTTGCTCACCAATCTTTTTGGATTATTTCCTCCCTTCAATTAATTTTTTCCCCAAGATAGGCTCTTACTTTATATGTAGCTTAGGCTGACATTGAACTCATGATCCTCCTGCCTCAGCCTCTAGAATGCTGGAAATATAGTCATGTATGACTGTACTTAGTTAAACTTACTGTTTAACCCATGGTATTTGGCTAGAGAAAAGAGCCCCACTGAAATGGATAGTTTAACTGATTTGGACTCAAGATGTGAATTACTGCTTTGTTTACAGAATAATGAATGTGTTTACTCTCTGTCTCTGTCTCTGTCTCTCTCTGTCTGTCTGTCTCTCTCTCTCTGTCTCTCTCTTTCTCTGTCTCTCTTTCTCTGTCTCTGTCTGTCTGTCTGTCTGTCTGTCTGTCTGTCTCTCTCTCTCTCTCTCTCTCTCTCACACACACACACACACACACACACACACACGTATGCATACCATTGACTTCTGAACTGTGTATGTGAAATCCTTCCTGGATATCTATGATCTATGACTTTTGCTTATTTAGAGTTAGTAAAGTATAATTTAACGTACAAAATCTCAAAATGCTCAAGCTCAATCTACAAATGTTTTTTAATGACTCTATGCTGGTAGTCAGTAAGTCCATAAAGAAATATGCTGAGGTGGGATAGTCAGTATGCAGGGCCATCCAAGACAAAACCACTGTGCACTGCTAGCTTTAGGGACTGCCAGTCGCTGTAGGTTTTTTTTTTTTTTTTTTTTTTTTTTGTATTTACTATGATTTCTCAGGTACATGCCTGGGAATATTTTCACAAAATAAATCTACTAAAACTGCTTTCTGATGGGTAGAATCAAAAAGTCTTGAGAAAGGAGCAACTATTTTTAACTCACATAAGGAGTGATATGGGCAGTGGCAGGTCTGGGTTTCTGTCAGGTGCTAGGTCCTCAGGTGAACTAGCCTCTATCCTGGGTCTAAGCAGGCAGTTATATTGGCAAAGTCTTCAACTTCCTTTTCTCCTTCATTTTCCCTTTGTGCCTCCAGCAGCTGTCTCAGCACTACTGGGCCATCCCTTCTGGGGAGACTCGTTTGGAACTGGAGTATGTCTCTGGGTCTTTCATCTTTTCTTTGCTATTCTGATTTTACCTGTTTTGATCTTATAATAACATCTGATCTGTGTTTACCATTTAGTATTTTTAAATTATTCCTCACGGTCCACCTCATGATTCACATGATAAGGAAGGTAGTGCAAGTATGACTATCCAAATATTACATACAAAAGTACGAGGTGGTTCAGAGGTGTTAAATGACTCACATGAGTCAATGATGAAGCCAACTAACTCTTGTTTCCCAAACCTTACTCTCGTGTTTCATTCCAGAACATGTCTGGAACGGAATAACATCTCTAGTTTCAGGACAGGACACATGGATTACCTAACAGAATCTTTAGTGCTTCCTTTCACACCAGAATGAGTACATTCAGCCCTTTTTTTTTTTTTTAGCTACTCATCACAGGATAATTTATTTTATTTTTTTATTATTAAGAGATTTTCTATTCATTTTACATACCAACTATGGATTCCCCTGCCCTCCCTCCTCCTGCCCCCCAGCCTTCCCCCGCAAATTCCCCCCATCCCCACCTCCTCCAAGGCAAGGTCTTCCATGGGGAGTCGGCAGAGCCTGGTACATTCAGTTGAGGCAGGTCCAGGTCCCTCCTCTCTGCACCAAGGCTGCACAAAGTGTCCCACCATAGGCACTAGGCTCTAAAAAGCTGGCTCATGCACCAGGGACCGGTCCAATCCCACTGCCTGGGGGCTTCCTAAACAGTTCAAGCTAATCAACTGTCTCACCTATCCAGAGGGCCTAGTCCAGTCCTATGGGGTCAGCTATTGGTCCACAGTTCATGTATTTCCACTAGTTTGTCTTGTCGTCTCTATACATTCTCCCATCATGATCTCGATGTCCCTTGCTCATAGAATCCCTCCTCTCTCTCATCAATTGGACTCCTTGAGCTTGGCCTGGCGCCCAGCCGTGAATCTCTGCATCTGCTTCCGTCAGTCACTGGATGAGGGCTCTATGATAAC